GTAACTGTGGTCGTGGTGGACATTTATCAGATATCATTTTTCATTGCCAAACCTTACTTTTTTAAATACAATTTGAATAATTCTCATCTAAATTTATTGTTTTATGTGATTTACAAAATAAAGTTCTTGTTGAAAAACTCCGTATTATGGTAGCTCGACTCGAAACCATAGCCGTGGTGGTATATAATTGTTAAAGTTATGAATTGTACATGGAAAAAACGTAATTTTTTACTACATTTTATAAAGCACTTGACGCGGTAAATTCGATAGTGAAAATGGAAAAAAGAATGTTTTTTTTCCCAGTAGGTCCGTGTACTCAGTTCCATGTGGAACAAATGTAACCTTAACATGTCATAATTATTCCCATTAGTTTCATGTAATTTTAATCTTTTTTTTACACCTGACTTTTCTTCCTCATCAGATCTTTAGAAGTTCATTAACTTATTTTCCAAAATTTACAAATTTTAAAGAGTCTGTAAATACAGAACATGCGATAACAAAACGCTGTTTTATTTTTACTTCTTTATTCATATAAAAATATTATCGACTCCCGTGTAGAATTTGAAACCTAGACATTGTCCATACTTTTAAAACTAAAAAGAAATATCACAATTTATTAATAAAAAAATGCAATAATTAGGGTAGTTTTTAACATTATTAGTTGGAACGTCTAGCGTAAAGCCTGATTTACATTTGTCTGACGTGTAGTGTCGTGACGCGTTAGAACGGCATCGGTTTCATACACACGACACAAGCCGTCAAATTGTCACACACTAATATAAATCTAACCATATTAAATGTTTGAAACTTATGTATATAACTTATTAGTTTTTATATAATTAAAGCCTTCTTTAATTCTCTCTTCCGGTAGCCAAGGATACCACAGAGGATAACAATTTTTCGTAAATCATTATTTTTAACCAAATTTATTTTTTTTGCCTCCATCCAAATCGCATTTGAGAAATAATAGTAAAACAACCATGATGTGCAGCTTTAGGAATTTCTCCACGTTTGAATATAACAAATGGGAATAAAGATAAAACATTAAATTTATTCCCAGTAGTTCCATGCATGGAACTTTTGGGTTTCAATTGTTCCATGTGGAACTGAGTACATGGAAAAACTGGGAATAAACAAAAAAGAAATCCGAAATTCCAAAGTTTTCATTGTGCAGGTATTTTTGCTCAAAGCATTACCTAGTAGTTATAATTAGCTGATAAAGTTTGTATACTGCGTATATTATTACGTTTGGTCTTTTATTGTCACTGCTATTTCGAATTTCAATGAAAATAAATAAAACAATATCTAAAAATAAAAAGTTGTTTGTTGGAAATATTACGGTAACATTAATTAAAGGTTACATTTCTTTTTAATTTTTTTACAAATGTTATATGTCTAAAAAGTTACAGGTTTTCTTTTTGAGTCAAGTTGGGGTTGTCGGCAACGTTGTAGATGCAGATGCAAATCGAAGAATGATGAGTGATGGAAACTGAAGTACTCAGCTTGTTTGTAGACGCCGAGCTTGTCTGCGCCTGGGCCTAATCTCTGTAGGCCAGAAAGAAGGTTCGAGAGTTATAAAAGGGCCACCGGTGTTCTTCGCTTCTCCAATCCAACATTTAGGAATCCATAGTTTAGAGGGCCAGTTTGACGCCTAAGCGATGTGGTCGATAATAATACCGCATTCAAAGACATTTAAAAAAAATCTATTATATTTGGGTGGGAGCCCGGCTGCGCATCTATAGATGACGGGCATATTAGGTGATAGACTACGGGAGAAATTTGCTATGAAATATACAAGCACGTGATGGCGAACTTAAAACTGGAACTGGGACAAGTAGAATCGTTCATGATTACACTGTACTGCTAAAATGTTACTTACCTTTCTTATGGTTTTTACCTATTTTTACCAAACAAATCGATATTAGCTCATTGCCAAACAAAAGACATCAACTACGGCATCACATTACGTAATAAGTACTCATAAACCCTTTTTTTTTTAAATTAAAAAAGACGAAGGTTACTTTAATTTTGAATTTAAAGTAACCGTTATGCATTTAAAGACTTTCATGGTTTTGCAGTGACTGAACATTACTAGTTACTTAGAAATTTCTTACCACGGTACTACATTCTTTTTGTAATATCAAGTGCTGGGACGAACAAGTCGTACACCTGGTGGTAAGCGGCACGCCTATCCATAACAGTTGCAGTGCCACTCAGAGCTTTAAATCGCAAAGATCATAGGGGCACTGCCATTGCGCCCGTCACTCTGAGACATAAGTTGACAAGTCCCATGTGCCTGTAATTTCATCAGCACCCTTAACTAGAGATGAAACGGATATCCCGTATCCGGCTTATTTCTACTATCTGGCCGGCTGCCGGATAGTAGAACAATATCCGGCTGGATCAGTACCCGACTGGATATTTAAAACTGAGAAAATTCATAATCAGTACGCCAAATAAATTAATTTATTAATTAAAGATGATAGTCATACAATAAACAGCAACTACAGGATCGTTGACAGTTTATTTGTTACTTGTACCTATGAAGTTAGATAACGTTGTCTGTAAATTTAGTACACAAATTTCAATAACGGCAAATTATAGTGGATGAATTATATTATTATTATTATTCTTATTATTTTCTGCATTTAGTGGCAAATTTGGCTCTATTTATTTTCATAAACTAGATCAGCTTCAGAGGACAGTTTTTCAATATAAATTCCTGCAAACTTTTTATTTATAAATTTTTATTTTTATATATTAAATTTTAAGTACTACTTGTTATGGCCAGATGATCAACCCAATCTTTGTCGTTCAATATTTCAACTGTACTATATTTAGTTTTTCTCATGTTAAGTGAATGAAAATTCTTAGTGAGAAATAAATCTTTAAACCTAACTGAAAGGATCGCGATCACGATCGATTTGAACTGTCTTCAAATACAATAATGAATCGTGTAGGTAGATTTTTTTTTTAGTTAGATCACAAACAAATTAATGATATCAAATTGAAACAAAATAATAACGGACGTATCAAGTGCTAGGCGTATATATATAAGAACTAGAAATTTTAATATAGCCAAAGAATGATGTAACTGCTCTTTGCCTTCTCCACCGCGAGAAACTTGCATTCAGCACAACAAACAAACAGTATTGATATTAAAATATTGATAATTTTTCGATTTATTTTTTCACTGTTAACATTTTTCTGTTATTTATATGTTCGTATTATCGAATAAATCCATCGTTTTTATAAAAACCATGTGACCACAACAAATCAAATCAACAATGTGAAAGTGCAATAATTCACTAATCAACAAATCTCGGTAATGCGTGCTGTAAATCGGTCACGACGTGTTTACGGCAGATGGTCAGATATCCGGCGGCCGGATAGCCGGCTATGCGGCCTATGTGCTCGATGGATATCCGGTATCCACACACATATGACAAATCCCTATCCGTTTCACCTCTACCCTTAACCTTGCAAACCGGGACGCAGTAATGCTCATATTACTGCTAAGCGGCAGAAATACGTAGCACAGTGGCAGTACGTCTCTGGACGAACTTTTTCAAAAGGAGCTCCACTGCTACTGATGACAGTTCACACATGAAACCAAATACTGTCGTAATTCAAAATTGAGGAAATAAGAAAATCCAAAAACAAAAAATACTAATATTATGTGCGATTTTATTCTTCTCGCGACATTTTTAGTTTCAAGGTCGATCAATGTCGATCATGCGCTGTAGACTATAACCCACATCTCAGGTTTAGTCCTGAAATTGAGCAAAAACGTTCCAGTACATGGAATCCAGTGCTTAATGTTTATAACAGCAGTTATAAAAAGGCAGTTCACATTGCCACTGGTCATCCTGTGACGATGGACGACGAAATCGTTACGAAATGTCGGGAGAAGAATAAAAAAATTTGTCCGTTTTTGCAAAATTGTTTTATATATTTATTTATGTCTTTGTTTTTATTTTGGATACTATTTTTTTTGGTTTCACAATTATTATTTAACACGACTTATAAAGAATAACAGTCACTTGCATTTCTATATGTATACACAATTTCAACTCGATTTTTATCAGAAATATTCAATGAAATTGTGGAGTGGTTTGCTAAAGTAACGATCCGTAACGGCACATGTTCAATGAAAAAAGAACATTAATACGTGTAACTTATACATATTAATGGCGACTGCACGTACTCACCTCTCCAGCAGTAGTTCTGAATACACCAGAAGGGATTCCTCTGAAGCATTCAAACGGTAAGTATGTACAATTGGCAGGTAAGCGGTGGCTAAACTTACGACACTGAAAAGATAGGTGATAATGATAACAACAGCAAACTTTACCTTACAGTGATACAAAATTACAGCGTTTATTAAAAGGTATATATGTATAATGATAATAATTCTTATTTCGGTTTATTAAAAATATCCATAGTATGTTAGTACGAGAATTTAAAAACAAGGTTAGTGTAATACAATGCAGACCTTATTTATAAGTATACTATAAACTGGGCTACGCCCTTAATTTGCACTATCCAGAATTCAACAATTGGACCGTCAAACCTTTCCGCTATTGCACTTAGAATACTTTTGGGACTTTGCCTCACGCGACTCAACAGCGAGACATTCTTTTTTCCGCATTGCGGCCTGGAAGCTGACCGCTTGAACCTCAGCAAACATGGCCGGAGGCACTGCACCAGCTTGGAAGTCCCATCAGCACTCTAAATGCGTTGTTACATTGAACGCGCAGGGCGCTATAGGCACGTTTCGTATACCTCACCCACAGGCTGCTCGAGTATAAAGATTGGTTGTACGCTTCAAATAGTGTGATTTTAACTTCGTATAAGCATCGAGCAAACCTGCGGGCAACCATATTACTCCGTACCGCTAACGTCCTACGCTCTTTTTAGATATCCTGATTATCGTTCAGATCACTCAGTTCAGAACACTTAAGGGCGTCCTTTGTCCTGTATCCATAGGAAGAGAATTTACTGTTCTACTAGTTCATAATTGAATTAATTCCACGTAATCCCAGTACAGAATACTAAAAAAGCTGACCTCAAAAGTCATTCATGCCCTAGTTTACCACCCTTAGAGGTGGAATATTTTCTACAAATTTAAATGTGACCACATCTGAGGTACACTCTCTCCAATAAAAAAAGAATCACCAAAAACGGTTCACAAATTTTTAGTTAGTTATAGCGTAACATACATACAAAAAAAACCAAAGTCGAATCGAGGACCTCCCTTTTCTTGAAGTCGGTTAAAAAGTGAATAGAAATGAAACAAAGTTTTTTCGGAGTAATATTGTGTAAGATGATAGTACATTTATACTTATTAATTTAGGAAAGTTTAAACGAAATTGTTAATTTATTCCTTGAGGTGTACGGTAATACAATTGCGACTAATAATAAATATAAAGACTTACATCATAACACGTATAATCGACCGGAGGGTTATTATTGCCATCGTCATTGTCTGAATATGTGCTTGATGGTTGGCCAAATTTATAAATTGTTCCATTTTGTGGTTTTACATCATTATATATTATTGGACGTATAACCCCAAATCGAACGGCTCTGACCAATGAACGCATAGCTTTAAGGGAGAAACAGGCGTGCACAAAAAAGTCGATGAATCTATTGTAATTTACTGTTTTAATTTATCTGTCTTGTTGTCTACATTTGTTCAATTAGGTATTAACGACGTGAGTAACTTTAATTAGATTAAATTTCATATTTTTTGTTCTAAATTGGTTTGGTTGAGAGGTGAGGTTTGGTTCGTTGTTGTTTTTTTAATTTTTTCTTTTTAAAGAGAACAATGGTTCCAAAGAGTATAAATTATTAATTCTTCGCGGATAGTATTTGAGCCAAAACGAAATTTTATTTTAGGCTTAGAATCATTGACCTTCTAGGTCAATGCTTAGAATATTTTTTTTCCATCAGGAGATATTTAAGTTATTCATTTCTTAGAGGATGAAAAAAAATAGACGAATTTACTTAGCTCCAAACAAATACCGTTTGAACCAACGATAAAAGTTTTAATTTTAAAAGTACAAAAATATGTATATAACATGAAATAAATAGAATGGCTTAATAATGAATGAATAATGTCACTGTGAATAAAAAAAGAGTCGTATATACGGAGGAATATTTGAAATAAAGTGTTCTCAATAGAGGTAAGGAAAGCAACGTCGATCTCTGAAAGATATACTTAATAATACTGTTAAAGCAAGGAATGGTCACACATATGACTGTTCTAGATAATGAGAAGTGATTTAACTACATTTCCACACTCATATGTGTCACTAACAGAAACTTGAAATTTAGTAAGGTGAACGGAAAAACGTACTTGTCCCAAACGTATACATGGCGCGCTCCTTCTGTTGGTGGACCTCAATAAAATCTGGGTGGAGAAGCGTAGTGGTAAACGAGAGAAAAGTCACACAGGTGGGGTTTCGAGTTGCACACGTGCTACCCAGAAATTGTGTCTCGTATCTTTCGCTTGTGGTTGAAAATAAGTTAGTGTTCTAATTGTTAATTTTTGTCTACAAACATAAACAAGTGTGTCCTTGCTACACTTGTTTTTCTCTGATCTTATCTGTTATCTGAACGACGAGAAACTCTATATAGAGGTGTCCTACAGTCTCCTCGACATATTTCTATAATCCGAAACAGTCGTCAGTGAAAATGGACGTCTTTGGAGATATATTGAACGAACTATAATTATACTAAATAAATGTGCGCGTGGCCACAAAATGTATTGCAAGATGGAAACTACGATTCTAATATTAACAGTAGCTACAAGCATCACTAAAAATATAAAGTAAATTTAACAATTCGATATTTTTCAGTAAGATTACAGATTAATGTAGTGCTTCAGGACACTGAAGTTTCACATTCTTTTAAATCAAATCAACATGTTTAAATTTCAATCGTATATCGTAGGAATATAGTCGACAGACCCTTTTTTACTTCAGTCAGATTTTCATTCCTTCAGATTTTTACTAACACAGATTTCTATACGATCAGAGATCGCAGAATTAAGTACGGGTGGTCTAAGAAACGGAAACAGCCCAAAACGAGCGGAACATTAATTTGTATATCCAATAAGAAAAGGTTTGGCGGCATAATTGTGACATTAACAAGTACATGATCGACGTATATCGTACTCTCTTGGTATAATAAAACCATTATGCGATAATACGTCAAAAGTGCTTTTATCACATGAAAGTCGTTAAAAATAATACGAACCACATTATACAAATTGTGAGCATAAAAAGTTACCGACTGATTTCATTCGTACAATCAGTAAACCTATCTTGAAAAGTTGTCATTTTGCAGATGTGACCTTATAAAAAGGTTGCGAAATGTTTACCCAAAATAATTCTTATTTGGTTATTACATTTAAAAAACCAAAATAATGTTTTTCTTTAATGTGATAAATAAAACAAAATTAACATTGAGTGATGTGAATATTTAATTTAATCAATACGAGATAAGTTTTTATGAGTTTTCACACGTACATTTTTCAGGAGAGCATGATTTAGTTTTAACGACTGTTTTAAAATATTTATGTCTCGTGTTAAAATTAAATTTTGGTTTTAAATACGTTGTTTTAAAATTTACATTAAAAAAACAGGACGTAAGTATTTTAAAATAAAAGTAAAATATGCTCCCCTAAAAACATTTTCGAAATGTCGTTTTTGCCCAAAGTATCCACTACAGTAGAACCAAGTTTGGAACCAACACAGTTCGAAAGGATAACCCATAGGAAAACCCATTTCAGATAAATATCAATCCAATGTGTGTAGTGCTAGTAAGACTGAAAAGTTGTTGGTCGTGATAGACAAAGTGAATAAATATGGAAAAAGAAGACAGGTGTGGGTACCGATGCTCTCCTCGTTGTTTTGTTTTCTCGTAGCTAGAATGTACATGGCATAGACCTCATTTTTGGGCTTAACAAATATTTTCTCAAGTGTATACTTAAAACTTTTTCACGGGAAGTTACACTCGCTTATGCATGCAAATACTATTATAATAATCTCAGTATAGAATACTAAAAAAACCGACCTCAAAAGTACGTGGAATTACGTCTATTTGCTAAGTTTTATTGAAATATCCCCTAGTTCGCCACTACACAGGACTTGACACTGGAGATAATAAAAATAGGTTCTCACTACGACACTACTCAAAGTACATCGAGAGAAAAACGCCTTGAATTGGAGAAATAGCAAAATCAACCACTAAAGTAATTGCTCCTAAATTAAAGTTATTTATAAAAATGAATCTTCATGCGTGAACAGCCACCCTTCGAGGTGTATGATTTTCTTCAAAATGAAATGGGACCACTATGGAAGTACCCCCTTTCCAACAAAAAAAGAATCATGAAAATCGGTTCACAAATACCGGAGTTATCGCGTAACATACATACAAAAAAAAAAGAAAAAAAGAACATAGTCGAATTGAGAACCTTCTTTTTTGAAGTCGGTTAAAAAGACACGTGATTTATGAGTATATCTAATTTCTTACCAGTGTCTTTTGAAAAGTATGACAATAAATTTTCGAACATTCTTTTCCAGTGCTCACATTTCTTGGGGCAGAACTACTGGCTGGATCAATGTCCAGCTTATCGGGACGCAGAAAACGTGCCACTTTTTTACTTTAAGAACATATTGTGGAATAAATTGATAAATTAGATAAAACCTTTGGCAAATGATGATGGCGAATGATGAAAGAGGTGCCTTACTTTCTCAAAGTCGTATCTTATAACGAGTGATTATTCAGGAGAATGCAAAACTTTCTATTTATTTTAAATTTCTTATCAAGGGTGGTATTTGGATGCATTACTTTAACGATAGGTAAAAGCCAGTGTGTGAATATTAAATTAGCGTGCAAAATTTGTATCTACCAACAATTTTTTGCATTTCAGTAACTTTGTGCTTTAAGATACGAGTTTGAGAAAGTACGGCGACGAAATAAGGTTTAATTCCACAAAAAATATTAGAAATATTTGAAAAAATGAAAAATAACATTATCTTAGCAACATCACATTATAGGGAGATCGGAGATCAGAGTTCCGATCACCACAATAGGATAGTAGTTGGTAAACACAAATACCTAATTTTCGCAAATTTTTTTGGTAGACCTTTTTTGCTGTGGTACCATCACACAGTTCCATTGATGGTGCTAAGGTATTTTTGGCCATTGTCCTATTAATGCTACCGTGGAATGGGGTGGTAAAGAACCAAATTCAATTGAAAGTTGATTGTACCATTTATTTGTTACTACATTGGATTTCAGCATTTTTTGTTGTAAACTAACACTATAACAAATTATTATATAACGAGTAAGTCCAGCACTTCAGTGCTTGCTAAATGACTTGATGGACAAGAATATGTGATAAGTGCTGGCATCAGATTTTGTTCCTACGGCTATAATAGTTGCGTTCGCTGACCCTGTATCTAGCCCCGCCTTGCAAGTTTTGATGGTTCCAATACGCACTTGGGCTTTTTAGCACCCCATGGGTTAGCAGCTGCTTGTACGAAGCAGTCTGTCCCACAAGGAAGATCTGCTCTGCAGGGAAGATCCCATGTAGCGATCGGTTCTTTTTTGGGTAGTTGCGTTCTATGGTGCTGTGCTTTTCGTTTGCTTTCGTGTTTCGTGCGTTTGTTGTCGTTACCGCCGCAGCAACCACCGCCGCTGCAGTTGCAACTCATCTTGACGGAATCTGAAAAAAAAAGGAAATTAGAATGTAGGGTATCTAAATCAAATATTTAAATAGATAAACAAGCTTATCTGCCCTGGTTAGCAATATAAAAAAGAACGATGTTCCAGCACACGCTGATCTCGCCCTATAAATAAATCTATACTTAGTATGTAGAGTTAAATGAATCGGTGTCAATGGCCGCCCACGGCGATGATAATGAAATGATTATCACTAGTATCAGGTTTCTTACCACGGTATGACTTCTTTTTATTTTCCCGAGATATGGAGCGTGCAACCGTTCCGAAATATCGGGAAAATAAAAAGAAGTCGTACCGTGGTAAGAAACCTGATACTAGTGATAATATTTTAGTGAATAACCACGAAAGTTTTAAAATCTATATAGATGATAATGAAAGTTCATTATTTTCATTTCAGAACAATAAATATAAATATATCAGATACTTACCAAAAGTGGATAGGTGGTATAATTTGAAATCGTGTTATATTTTGTAGTTTTGCTGGAATTTTTGTGCAATTTCTGGTTTTTTCACTCCATGACTGCTAGAACAATGGAATGGAATAAATTTGAAATTTGACGTAGCTGTTGCTGCTTTTTTTTATTTGGCCATTACTTTCATGGTACGGCTTAAAAAACATTCTTCTCTAGTATAAAAATATAATAATGTTGTTTATTTTATATATATTTTTAAAATTACTAACACTTCTGCCTGTATAGACTTAATATTTTATAATTTTACACAAATGCACTAAACACTTCAGTACAGAATCTAGGCTTTTCCGACCACAAAGGCGTACTCATAAAAATCCACAAGTTAGTACATAAGGCTGTTATTTCTTGGATAACAGAGAAACGCTTATTTGATATAAAAAATATGACTAATATTACATCAGAATTGACGGATATTAACTGGTCTAACATACTTAACTTAAATAATGACATAAATAAAAATTATAATATATTTATTGACATTGTAAAAAACATGTTAAATAAATTTATACCTAAAAGGACAATTAAATTATGCAATAAAAACAAAAATCATTGGTTAACCCGGGGAATAAAAACGTCGTGCAAAAATAAAGGGTATTTAAAATTACTAGTTAACAATTCAAAAAACCCTATTCTCCGCAAACACTATAGGTTATATGACCGAATTCTAAAACGGTCAGTAAATAAAGCTAAACGTTCATATTATGCAGCGCGTATTAAAAAGTCAAGTAATATTATAAAAAGCGTCTGGAGAACTATTAGAGAAACTACTAACAAAACAGTTACAAAAAGTAAAGAAAACATAATGCTATCCGTAAAAAACCGAAATACAAGCGACCCCCTGCAAGTTGCAAATACATTCAATAATTTTTTCGCATCAGTGTGGGAGAAGGGGGGACGTCTAACTCAAGGTGTAGGCGACCTGTAGTTAAACAAACTGAGAACACCATGTATCTTACCCCCGTCTCACCACAAGAAATAAAAAACATAATCCGTAGCTTAAAAGTAAACATAGCCATGGAATTGACGAAATATCCCCAATATTGATCAAAATGTGTGCTGATGAAGTAACTTTGCTTTACTACTTACTAGGTAATCAATCTTTTCTTGAAGGAACTTTTCCAGACCAGTTAAAGGTAGCAATTATAAAACCTATACACAAAAGAAGTACTAAATCGGACTACTACCCACATCGTCTAAGTTATTTGAAAAGGCTATGTGCAATCGAATTTATTCTTACTGTGAAAAGTGTTAACTGTTCAAAGATTCACAAAATGGTTTTAGAAAAAGCAGATCTACTACTTTAGTCGTTTATAAATATATACAACAAATATTAAATATTTTGAATAAGCGACAGTACGGCTTCGGATTGTTATTAGATATAACGAAAGCTTATGATAAAGTACAATATTAATATTCTACTAAGCAAACTGTATGGTATGTGTTAGGGGAGTAGCATACAAGTGGTTGCAATCTTATTTACTTACAAAAACGAGTTCAGTTCAGTATGTTGACAGACAATTTTTTGACTACAATACATGTACGGGCAACGGCACATCAGACTACACATTTTTGTTCGAAAATCGCCTCCAGTGCAACGGAACAAGATACGTCAATATGTAGCTTGATGTGCTGGCGAGTGTACAATACGTAACGTTAGATCTGACCAGCATTACATGACAAGTTCAATACCGCAGGGCAGCGTGATTAGATGTTAACGTTTCGTAATCTACATCAATGACTTACCTAAATCTATTTCTGAACACTGTCGTGTTTGCTGACGATGTTTCACTTTTAACATCATGTGGTACCAGCGACTACGTGAATGCAAAAATTCACCCAGTTTTTACTGAGGTCATAAACTGGATGTCTGACCATAACTTGGATATAAATTTAAATAAAACAAAGATTATGCCATTTCACTCACCGCAAAAAACTCCACTATACCTTAGTATATACATATAATAACACGCCTGTAGAAACAGTACATAGCT